TTTAGATACCAAAGTTCCCGTCTCCTGGAAAGTTCCTTTCCCACTGGTGGATAGATTTTGATGTCGAAGGATCGACATTCCACTCTGTTCGAACACGTCGCAGTACAAACGGGACTGATTAAAATTCCGTTAACTAAAGTTTTCTCTGCATCTTTTACTATGGCGTCCACATCTTTACTAATGAAATCAGTGTACCAAGTTATCGTCAGCGATTGCCACGTGCGGCCGATCGAACTAGACCCAAAAATCTCGGGGGAGAAGGTTCCAATTTACGAATAAACAGTTTATTAGATTCTGATGGGTAGTTCCGTAATGAAAAGCCATAACTTATGGACTTTAAGCCCGGACACCCTGTAACTCTTAACTTATTCCACGTACCACTTGTGTGAGGTATTAGTTCAGCAAAACGTAGCACTTTAATTCCAATGTTATAAGGTACAAGTAGAATTCGATCCATCTATAAATTCTATTTAGAGTTCTTCATTTCAGTTCCATTGCAAATGAAGATAAATTATAAAAATTATTAAGAAATAAATTGAAGGCGTCATGCTTTTGTTTTGCATTATTGCTAATAAAATCTAATTCCATTACATTTGAAAAAATGAACCCAAAACAATCTAAAAAATCCATACCCAATGTTCTCAATTACGTAGAGACAAAAGAACCCTTTGTTTTTCCTTTTTAATTTCATCTTTTTGGAACTTCCAGAAGACAGTGCGTGAGTAATCACCACTCCGTCATTGTTTGATCAATCGTTACTCGTTTTATTTGCCGATATTAACGTCCAGAATTTAAAGGAGAAAATGCTATTGAACTTCTAGGTAGCGAGAGGCTATATTATGTTCTCTATGTCAACAAAAGCCAGACAAATACATCTGGAAAATTCTTTTTTATTTTCTCTGGTTTATCTCTTCTTTACACTTATCGTTTTTGTTCTTTTATTTATATACATAACATAATATGTTGCAATATTCTTTTCAACATCGTATGTTTTTGAAGGTCTGGTTTTATTTGCGATGCATTCTGATTCTAAAAGCGAAACTATATTTTGTGTACTTCAGATGGCCTGTTTATAACGACGACTATTTGTTTATATTGTCCCCAGAATATATGATTTTATTATTGTTGGCTCTATTTTGTCTTTAGTACCTTATTTTGTGTAATTTTATAATGATTTGTCCATTTTAGTGTTGTTATTCTTTCTAACGCCACCATATCGACGGTGTCAGATCTAGGCCCACGAAATTTATCGTGAAACTGGTCTTGATTACGTCTGTCGTTATCCGCAACTTTGAGCACCATACAGGTGGGAGTAAGTTTTGGTTCCGTTCCATCCCAATTTTTAAGAAGAACATTCTGGGTTGTTATCAGTGGATTTCCCACATCTTTTATTCTTCTACCAATCTCTTGAGGGGACTTTCGGCTCGAAGAATATTTAGAATACCCCCCTACCGTACAGGAACTATGCATTTGATAACATCCATGCCTTGTCCGGGATTCGAATCCGGACCTTTCAACTCAACAATCAGCGTCACTAACCAATATATCATCTGGATGGCTGAACGGGAAAATTTTTAAAAAATACAACATAATACTACAATAAATGCATTGCGGTAAGAACCAAAAAATTAATAGAAAATTATTTTACAAAATAAATAAATAAATAAATAAATAAAAAATAATTAATTAAATCACTATTAGATAAAATTATATGTAAACTGATTTTGTATTATAATCATAATCCTTTTTACGAAATGAAAAATAGAAACATAAAACTACCTTACTTAACAATTTGACGTATGTAATGACGTAAAAATGACGTATACATGATGAAGGAAACTGATGTAAAATTTTTTAGAACATTTCAGAAGATTACACATCACCTAAAATGAAATTCCAAAAGTATTTTTAACATCAATTTATGATAAATTAAAGGAAATGAAATATTCTATATAAAAAATGAATTAAAACTAGAATCCTTTACATTATACTTTAGATAAAGGATTTTGAAAAGATCAATCTTTTCTTTTTTAAAATATGGAACCGTGGATTCATTTTTACGCATTGCCACAATCTTAAGCAATGAATTTTCTAATTTGTTAATTTACAGCACGCAGAAAAGTAATAAACGCACAGATTACCTCCAGGATTCTAATGCTAGGAAATTAAACATCTTATCAAACTGCTTCCTCTTCAAATGAAATTTGTTTCCCTTTTTTTATTAGTATCTGTTTATTACCAAACTCAGTTTCAGAAACATTTTCATTACCACAAATTACTTATGCTGACACTATCCGAAAAGCTAAAGTAATTAAGTTTATGGAAAGAGCTTGAAACAGCTCGTTCCTTATCATTTCCTAGACAAGACAGTTTTAATTTCCAAGCTGTGTAATTAACACTTTCCCGCCGAAACTGCAAAATGAAAGGAAAAAGTACTTCTTTAAAAAGAATAATCTTTCTGGTTTTATTCTGTTATTCAATCTTCAAATTCCTGGTCTGTAGAAATCTTTCTTTTATAGTGATATTGGAGCGTTCTAGAATCTCATTTGTTCATTTTTCAAGCACGCATATAAAAATATATCCGTAAAATTCATCGTGGAAAGGATTTCGTTCTCTCTGAATTCATTTTTGTTTTGGTTAGTAAAGAGTTTCTTCGATCCATTGTTTTTGATTTATTTCGTTATTGTTCGTGGATGGTGTTCAATTTTTGTCGAATAAAATGAGATTATGTTTATCATTTTCTTCGGAGAAAAGAATTTTGAACAGAAATGAAAGTAAACTTTTGTATTGAAAAACTTCGTTTCTGTTCGATTGAGAATATGTTTTAGTTCGATTTCCTTAAATGTATTAAGTGGTAGTACACAGTACAATCTGTTTTTGTGTGGTCCTTTTTTATGTGATTTTATTTTTGTGCAATTGGTTTTGTACGATTATTTTGTGCGTTTTTTTATGCGATATATGAATTTCAACGGCTTTGGCGTCACTGTAATGTTTCCTATCAATGTACATTCATAAAATTTCATGAAGCTCTGTTCATCAGTTGTAAACAGTCTCTGGATAATGCACGTTCAATTGCTTTCTCTCAACGCACTCCAGCTTTCAAACCAATCCGAAAAGCATTTTCTTTAAATACATACCAATTCCGAAAGGAGTTTGAAATTCCAAAAAGAGCTTCAATCGCGCATATCTGGTTTTTGTGACTTTCACAAGAAATTAACCAACCGACCGTCCTAAAAAAACTTATCACTCACTTTATGGTGCTAAAAAATAATCTCTTCAAGTGACGAATGCGATTTTGATTGATTGATTGATTTAATATTATCGTCGCACTGTTCAGCTACACGAGGGCTTTTGGCGACGGACCACGTAATTTTGAACCATGGTCAAGTGACGTGGACGACACCTGAGCTGGCACCCCCTCTCCTAACTACCACACCACACCAACGGGAGGACGTTTCAGCTCTCGACAGATTTAACGTGCATCGCTGCCCTACACGGCGGGTCTTTAGTGGTACTGGGATCGAACTCGTGACCAGGCAAGCCACGATCCGATACCTATACCACTCGGCTACCGCGGCCACAATGCGATTTTGAACTAATACATCACAGGTAGATCCACGCTTTGGATTACGATGAGTAACAGTGAATTACGTATGAGCATTTTGAGAAGTTCTTCGTGTATACTATGAGAAATTAAATGTTTTTAAAATGTTTCCATGTGGAACCTTTAATTATTTATTTTGCTTGGAAGTACTTTCTCATAAATTTCGTAAATAATTAACATAATTTTCAAAGGCGACTTTTTTTATGCGGTCCCTTCCAGTGGCATGAAAAATTTTCTGTAGTATGTCGAGAGAGAGAGAGAGAGAGAGAGAGAGAGAGAGAGATGAAGTTGTTAAGTATATGTAAGCATTTATAAAATGTTCGCCTAATTTTTTTGTACGTTTTTTTTATGCGGTCCCTATCTACAGCTCAAAAACAGGTTTTGCTGTATAAGAGAGAACTAGTTCTTACGGATCATCATGCAAGTACATCAACAAAATATTTTATAAGATATCACACAAGTTCTTTTAAAGCTCTCTTATCGAAAATGTAGTGTAGTGTCAATAATCCTTTCGTAATTTGAATTTATTAACAGTGGATCTCAAAAATGTTCGTACACTTACAATTTTTTATAAAATTCAATGTTTTTGAGTAGTAAAAATTAATATATCGGAATTGTGATTTTTTTATCACGCCTACAATTTGTTCTTATTGAAATAATGTAATCAATTTTTTTAAAACATAGCATGACTATTATTTTGAAAAATTAACAATAAAAAAAGTTACTCAAAAATTGCGCAACAAAAGTCTTCGTACACTTAAAAAAATCTCAACGTAGCCTTAAGTATTGTATTTAGCCTTAATTTAGTACTTGTATTTTTAGTTCCACAACAATTTTCAAATGTCTAGGTATAGATTTCACCTTTTTTGTAATTTCTCTGCGTCAATGCTCCTTATTATTCGGTGATTATTGTTTTTACAAGTTTTGTTTTTATATGTCATGTTTTCTCACTTTAAATTCAGATTATCACTAAATATATTCCACAGGGCTTAAATCAGATGATTTAGAAGATTTTTTTAGAATTTAGGGACAATTATAGAAACACCAGAGGCTTATGTTGAGAGCAATGCACTTGGGGACATTATCTTGTTAAAAAAATTAAATCGTCTCCAATAACAAAATTACGGGCAGATCATTTCAAATTTTTTTTAAATATTTAAATAAAGTTCATGTTTTACAATGTCACGAAAAAATGCCAAATTACCTAATCCTGCAGCCGATTTACAAACCCAGACAAGAACACCTCCATTCTCGGGTGTTGACTTGGTCAATTGAACGTGGTGTGAATTACGACACTGTTAGCCACATTGGATGTATAGATTTGTGTGAAGAATATTTATTAAATATTTCACAAATTTCAAGGTTTTATATTCATTAAATTAATTAAAAAGAAACTTCCGCAGAGCAGGAGTCGAAACAGCAATCTATGGATACCGGCAGTGAAAACAACTACAGTCCACCGCTCTGCCAACTGAGCAATCGACGTCTGTTCATCCTCCTCTAAACAAACTTCAAGCAAATTGAATATTGAGGTCATTTGATTGGGATAAAAATCTCCTTTGGTGTAAATTGTTATTTTAATGTTTATATTTCAAATATTTTTAAGTTTTATATTCGCTAACTTAATTAAAAAGAAACGTCCGCCGAGCCGGAGTCGAACCAGCGACCGCTCTGCCATGGATATTCAGCTATGAAACAACTACAGTCCACCGCTCTGCCAACTGAGCTATCGACGGCTGTTCATTCGACGGCTCTCCCCTGTAAACAAACTTCAACCAAACTGAATATTGAGGTCATTTGATTGGAATAAAAATCTCCTTTGGTGTAAATTGTTATTTTAATGTTTATATTTCAAATATTTTTAAGTTTTATATTCGTTAACTTAATTAAAAAGAAACGTCCGCCGAGCCGGAGTCGAACCAGCGACCTATGGATATCAGCTATGAAACAACTACAGTCCACCGCTCTGCCAACTGAGCTATCGACGGCTGTTCATTCCCCCCCTGTAAACAAACTTCAACCAAACTGAATATTGAGGTCATTTGATTGGAATAAAAATCTCCTTTGGTGTAAATTGTTACTTTAATGTTTATATTTCAAATATTTTTAAGTTTTATATTCGTTAACTTAATTAAAAAGAAACGTCCGCCGAGCCGGAGTCGAACCAGCGACCTATGGATATCAGCTATGAAACAACTACAGTCCACCGCTCTGCCAACTGAGCTATCGACGGCTGTTCATTCTCTCCCCTGTAAACAAACTTCAACCAAACTGAATATTGAGGTCATTTGATTGGAATAAAAATCTCCTTTGGTGTAAATTGTTATTTTAATGTTTATATTTCAAATATTTTTAAGTTTTATATTCGTTAACTTTTAAAAAGAAACGTCCGCCGAGCCGGAGTCGAACCAGCGACCTATGGATATCAGCTATGAAACAACTACAGTCCACCGCTCTGCCAACTGAGCTATCGACGGCTGTTCATTCTCTCCCCCTGTAAACAAACTTCAACCAAACTGAATATTGAGGTCATTTGATTGGAATAAAAATCTCCTTTGGTGTAAATTGTTACTTTAATGTTTATATTTCAAATATTTTTAAGTTTTATATTCGTTAATTTAATTAAAAAGAAACGTCCGCCGAGCCGGAGTCGAACCAGCGACCTATGGATATCAGCTATGAAACAACTACAGTCCACCGCTCTGCCAACTGAGCTATCGACGGCTGTTCATTCCTCTCCCCTGTAAACAAACTTCAACCAAACTGAATATTGAGGTCATTTGATTGGAATAAAAATCTCCTTTGGTGTAAATTGTTATTTTAATGTTTATATTTCAAATATTTTTAAGTTTTATATTCGTTAATTTAATTAAAAAGAAACGTCCGCCGAGCCGGAGTCGAACCAGCGACCTATGGATATCAGCTATGAAACAACTACAGTCCACCGCTCTGCCAACTGAGCTATCGACGGCTGTTCATTCCCCTGTAAACAAACTTCAACCAAACTGAATATTGAGGTCATTTGATTGGAATAAAAATCTCCTTTGGTGTAAATTGTTATTTTAATGTTTATATTTCAAATATTTTTAAGTTTTATATTCGTTAACTTAATTAAAAAGAAACGTCCGCCGAGCCGGAGTCGAACCAGCGACCTATGGATATCAGCTATGAAACAACTACAGTCCACCGCTCTACCAACTGAGCTATCGACGGCTGTTCATTCCTCTCCCCTGTAAACAAACTTCAACCAAACTGAATATTGAGGTCATTTGATTGGAATAAAAATCTCCTTTGGTGTAAATTGTTACTTTAATGTTTATATTTCAAATATTTTTAAGTTTTATATTCGTTAATTTAATTAAAAAAGAAACGTCCGCCGAGCCGGAGTCGAACCAACGACCTATGGATATCAGCTATGAAACAACTACAGTCCACCGCTCTGCCAACTGAGCTATCGACGGCTGTTCATTCCTCTCCCTGTAAACAAACTTCAACCAAACTGAATATTGAGGTCATTTGATTGGAATAAAAATCTCCTTTGGTGTAAATTATTATTTTAATGTTTATATTTCAAATATTTTTAAGTTTTATATTCGGTAACTTAATTAAAAAGTAACGTCCGCCGAGCCGGAGTTGAACCAGCGACCTATGGATATCAGCTATGAAACAACTACAGTCCACCGCTCTGCCAACTGAGCTATCGACGGCTGTTCATTCCCCTGTAAACAAACTTCAACCAAACTGAATATTGAAGTCATTTGATTGGAATAAAAATCTCCTTTGGAGTAAATTGTTACTTTAATGTTTATATTTCAAATATTTTAAGTTTTATATTCGTTAACTTAATTAAAAAGAAACGTCCGCCGAGCCGGAGTCGAACCAGCGACCTATGGATATCAGCTATGAAACAACTACAGTCCACCGCTCTACCAACTGAGCTATCGACGGCTGTTCATTCCTCTCCCCTGTAAACAAACTTCAACCAAACTGAATATTGAGGTCATTTGATTGGAATAAAAATCTCCTTTGGTGTAAATTGTTACTTTAATGTTTATATTTCAAATATTTTTAAGTTTTATATTCGTTAACTTAATTAAAAAGAAACGTCCGCCGAGCCGGAGTCGAACCAGCGACCTATGGATATCAGCTATGAAACAACTACAGTCCACCGCTCTGCCAACTGAGCTATCGACGGCTGTTCATTCCCCTGTAAACAAACTTCAACCAAACTGAATATTGAGGTCATTTGATTGGAATAAAAATCTCCTTTGGTGTAAATTGTTATTTTAATGTTTATATTTCAAATATTTTTAAGTTTTATGTTCGTTAACTTAATTAAAAAGTAACGTCCGCCGAGCCGGAGTCGAACCAGCGACCTATGGATATCGGCTATGAAACAACTACAGTCCACCGCTCTGCCAACTGAGCTATCGACGGCTGTTCATCCTCCTGTAAACAAACTTCAAGGAAATTGAATATTGTGGTTATTTTATTGGAATAAACATCTCCTTTTGATGCAAATTGTTATTTTAATGTTCATTCATGAACTTTCTATAAAATCTAATAATTTTACTTTTAGTGTCAATTTTTGTATCATAACAGATATCGAAGGAGGTGGCAGTGAATTAAAAATTTTGCGTTAAATATATCGAATTTGAATCTTTTTTTCTTTCAGAGAAGTTATCTTTGACGTCGAAAATCATGACTAAGAATGGGTCTAATAACCGTTAATTGAAAACTGTATTTCCCCCTAAACAATTCCTAAAAATATAATAGATAATTATTAGATTTATTTCCAAATTGGTTTGTTTTAAAAATGAAGTTAAAACTGCATTACACTTAATTAGAAATGGTCAAACTTATCGATCATTTAACATTAAGATTGTACGAATTGGTAGTTTTTATATTCATGCAAACATTTTGAACATACCACCATATTTGTTAATAGATTTTTCATTTTTATCATTTTGAAAATCATTGGCTAATGCTGTAATATATATAACAGAAAGCGATGCGCCGAGTAGTTATTCGAAAAGGGCGAAATTTGAATGTATATGCACATACCTTACAATAAAATATGAAACTAATCAACCTTTTGCATCAGGATAACTTTTTGCAATACTGGACCTACATCCTATTGCAATGGATTATCCGAGTGATATATAAAACAGAGAACATTCCATTGCTAAAGCATTGTCTTCCGCTTGCCTGCATAGATTGTACCAGTGCCTCGCAGTCGTATTCATGAGCAGTATGGGCAGATGTCACCATTTGAGAGAGGATAAGCATTTGAACTGAAGGAAGCAGGATAGTCAAATTACGGGATCGTTCAACATTTGGGTCGTAGAGATGTTGCCATTCGACGATGTTGGTTGAAATGGGTTAATCGTCAAGAAGGTAACGGTCGACTGAGAACGACGATAGAATACATCCGATCAGCGTTCACAGCCCCTGGTGCTTCTTTATCAATACTCTAATGTGAAACCGGAACACTATTGACTACATTGACCATTGTTTCTTGATTCATTGAATTGGAAACTGAAGTCATAGAGACCATTGTATCGACTGCTCCTCACCATTGATCACCTAGAATATCATTGACTGGAAGATAATTGTTTTCAGTGATGAATCCATATTCGAAATGAGCCCCAATGACCAACGAAGACAAGCCTGGTGATCTCCAGGACGACGATGGTGATATGTATCTGATGTTGTTCTCCACACAACTTGATAACCAGGGGTTATTATATAAAGTGCCATTTCATTTGATAGAGCCGGACCTGTTCGGCTGCCCTTCGTGATCGACGACATTGTACGTCAGGTAATTCTGCTTTTCCTTTAACGAACCTCTAGGCTTAGATTACACTCAACAGGATAATGCTTAGATGTCCACAGATCTCCTTCCTACTGCTTGTTTACGTGCCTCTTTAACGCTCCTCTTCTTTTTGTGTTTATTTTTCATTGTAAGATTAACATGTGAGAATAATAAAGCCTCCACTGAAAACTTTCTGTGTTTTCGGAATCAAATTTCTTCTACGCGTTTTCCATAGAAAACAAAACTTTTTTTGCGATCATTTAGATAAATGCATGCTTCATCAAAGGTAACAGCGTATTTCTACTTATATTCTACCAAATGATTTTCAAACAAGGCTCTACAACAGTGGTTCTCTAACTCTTTTAATACTTGCGACCCAATATTGAATCATAATTTTCATCGCGCCCCCCTCCATACGATAACAATGTATTGAATTCAATAATACGATACATTGATGCTAAATAATACGATAATACGATAATGCTAATAATACGATAATGCTAATAATACGATAATACGATAATGCTAATAATACGATACATTGATGCTAAATCTGCAATAGGATTTAAACCTCTTTTCCACCAGCGCATATAAACGTCTCGCTCTACGAAAACTTTATTTGCCCGGTACGTATATATACGTCTGTCAAAAGTACGATCTTTCGAAGGCTTTGGAATGCATTAAAAGCACAGTGTTTGCGAAGTATTTACTTATTTCAGAGGATTTGCTTGTTTATTTTCTTTTTCTTCCCTACCCCTCCAATACATTACATACGCACTCCATATTGAAAAACAGTGTCATTGGAGAGAGCTCTGCGTAACTTTTAACCAGCAGAGTCAAGGGATTAATTATATACATTACAAATTATTAAGATAATTGTTAATTTTTGTATCTAATTTTATACATGACAAGCCCATGGGT